TATTGTTTAAATCTGTTTTTGTCATGGAATATCTTGTTTTCTCTATTGATGGTGAATGAAATCTTTGCTGGATATAATATTCTGGGCTTGTATCCTTGTTCTCGTTAGTGTCTGCAGCTCATCTATCCTGGACCTTCTGGCTTTCATGGTTCCCAGTGAGAAGTCAGTTGTAATTCTGATATGTTTACCTTTATATGTTACTTACCCTTTTTTCTTTTTTAGCTCTTAATATTCTTTCTTTATTCTGTATGTTTGATGTTTTTATTATTATATGGTTAGGGGACTTTTTTTTTTGATCCAGTGTATTTGGTGGTCTGTAATCTTCTTGTATCTTCATAGGAATATCCTTTTTTAGGTTGAGAAAGTTTTCTTCTATGATTTTTTTGCCGAATATATTTTCTGTGCCTTTGAGCTGTAATTCTTCTCCTTCTTCTACCCCTATTATTCTTAGGTTTGTTTTTTTCATGGTGTCCCATAAGTCCTGAATGTTTTGTGTTAAGAATCTGTTAGATTTAATGTTTTCTTTGACCAATGAGTCTATTTCCTTTATAGTATCTTCAGCACCTGAGATTCTTTCTTCTATCTCTTCTATTCTGTTGGTTTTACTTGTCTCTGTAGTTCCTGTTCATTTTCTTAGATTTTCCAAATCCAAAATTCCCTCAGTTTGTGTTTTTTTTTATTACTCCTATTTCAGTCTTCAAGTCTTGAACTATTTACTTCACCTGTTTGATTGTTTTTTCTTGGTTTTCTTGGGTACTTTGAGGGATTTTTAAATTTCTTCTAATTTTTTGTTTGTCTTCTCTAAGGGAGTTTTTCATTTCCTTTTTAAAGGTCTCCATTTTCATAAAGTTATGTTTAACGTTATCTTCTGCTTTTTCTGGGTTAGGATGATCAAGTCTTCCTGTTTTATTTTTGCTTGGTTCTGGTGTTGCCATGTTGCTTTTTAGGTTGTTGGAGGAATTCCTGCAACATCTCTTCCTACCCATCTCTTCCTTTCAATGAGGTCTGCAGTGTCTTTGTGTCTTGGTCCAATTCTTGCAGTGGCTGTCTAAGTGTTTGGGAGTCTTTTTTTGGTCTGCTCTGTACTGTCAAAATGTCTAGCTCAGAAAGCCTCTGAGGTCTCTCTATGCCCTTCTCTCTTGTTCTTCTGTCTTGCTTTGCTCTCTTTTGCTCTGTCTTAATCCCTTCAGTGTTGTAGCAAGCTATTTGTATCCTCAGTGTTATAGCAAGCTCTCAGCTCTTAGGTGGGGTGTGGCTAGTAGCTTGGGGGTGTCCAGTGGATGGGTTTGGGTTTGGGGATAGCTAGCCACAGAAAACTCCTAGCTGGCAGGATAGAAAACCCAAGGGAGTTGGGGTAGGGGCTGGGGTTTTGTCCCACTGGGGAGGACCTAGAGAGTGGGATGTCCTGCCATGTGGCTGTTCACTTACCTCTTAAGTCCCCTCAGTATTGGAGCAAGCTGTGTTTCAGAGTGCCACTGAGGTTGCAGGAGGATAGGTGGGTTTTGACAGCCAACATCTTAAGTATTGCTAGTTACAATGAAAAAGAAGAAAAGAAAATGATGAAACTCTTATATTGTAAATATAATTTTTTTTGGGGGGGGTCATGTTGCATGCCAGAATATTTTCATTCTGAATTTGCTGTTGTCCAGAACTGATTATGTGTCCCTACCACAAGGGACCCCATCAGCTCTGCCATAAGAGTAGGAGGACTGTGGAAATGGCAATGATTTGGCAAACAGTACTGTGACTGCTTCTTGCCTTTGTGCCTCTCAAGACTTCTTTAAGTAGACAAAGATACACATAACACTTCTTCATTGTAGACTTTGTAGTAATTTATTGTTTTAGATTCAGTGACTCAATTTTCCTCTACTTTGATTTGTATGCTAGAGTTTTTGCAGACAATAAAGAAAATTGTCTCTCTTCTTCCCACTTTTCTCTCTTCCACTTATTGCATTTAACAATGAAGAACTCTAAGGAAATCTATTAAAAGTTTTAAAACAGTGACATTGTTCTTTTTCTTTATAGGCAGCAAAGCAGATAAAACAGGAACTGCCCGTCTGAATATGATCGAGGCTTTTTCTTTTAAAAAAAAATTTAAAACCAGAGCAAAAAGAATTTATTTATTTATTATGTATGCAGAGTCCTACCCATAGCCCAGAATAGGGTACCAGATCTCCTTACAGATGGTTGTGAGCTATCATGGGATTGCTGGGAATTGAACTCATGACTTCTGGAAGAGCAACCAGTCCTCTTAGCCTCTGAGCCTTCTCTCCAGCCCTGCAAAAAGAATTTAAACGTGGTAAAAGGAGTCAAGATGTATATAAAAGTAGCTCTGATAATAAACTAAAACAAAATAAGTAAAGCAGTTGTTAGAAACAAACATAACTTTGAAATCTTTTTTTTTTTTTTTTTTTGGTTTTTTTGAGACAGAGTTTCTTTCTCTGTTATCCCTGGCTTTGCTGTAAGTATTCTATAGACCAGGCTGACCTTGAACTCAGAGATCCTGCAGTCTGCCTCCTGAATACTGGCATTAAAGGCATGTGCCACCACTGCCTGGCCAGTTTTTGAAATTTTGAACAATGGGAAGTTTTAAATAGCATGATATATAACACATGATGGAAGATGAGCACATGTCAGGTGGCCAGACAAAGAAGAAAAGCATACATTAATGATAGAAGTGTGAAGCATTATGCTTGAAACTGTTTTTATGCTCTCTGATATACTTAAAAATTCTTCAGTAATAGAGCTGCTTCAGTGGCAAGTGGGCAAAGTAAGGACAGACTTCAATGTTTTTTACTTGATAGAGAGATTCAGTCATATACTTATAAGGAAAAATATGGAAGACCTATCCAATTGACTCATAGTAGTAGCTTGTGTCTTTTCTTTAAACTGATTGTGAAATTAAATGGACATTTATAATAAGTGTATTATTTACCAAAAGAATCAGGTAGAACAAATGTAAGTTAAAGCTGCATAGTTTCATATTCAGGAACATTTAAAATTAAAAGTTTTTTTTATTGATGTAAGGGATATTTCTCATATTTCATGGAAATTGCCTTAATCTGTTAACTTTATTTCGTTTGTACTTGGAGACTCTTAAATAGTAACTCAGAGAAACTAAAGTATAGTAATAAAACAAAATGAGAAACCCAACAGCAACAGCAGCAAAAACCTCTCCTTAAAGTATCAGTCTAAGATACAGCTCAGTGGTAAGATGCTTTCCCTACTATTCCCTAGATACCAGATTCCATCCTACTACCAGGCTGGGGGCAGGTGTATACAAAAATGCTTGTTTGTTTATCCAGCTGTTTATTCAAATGTTTATTAGTTCATTACTGTGCTTACTGTAAGTTTAGTAGGTATCATTGCCTGTCCATGGAGAAAAAAAATTGTTTAGTTAGGCCGTAAGCTCTGTTTACCAAATGTGACAATATATGCACAAAAAATAATCACAGAAAAGATTAATAAACTATTAAGAAAAAAATTATGAGTTCATTCCAGTATTAAGTAACTTGGTAAATAAAAAAATTAAATTTCTTGTAGTAGTAGATTATGAAGTGCCAATTAATAAATACAGAGATGATGCTGGAGTTGAAAGAAAATCAGCATTTTGATTTATGTGTCATAGTATAATATTGTGTCAGTCACAGATCATTAATAAATGATAAATCTAGAGGCAGTTCTGATTAGCAGAGTGATATATAAATGCTTAAAATGTCTTTGTGTAAATTGCTAGTTTCTTGTAAGTGAAAAATTAATTATGTATCCTGGTCAGTATTATTCACTATAATAAAGTTGACTGGGTAACCAAAATTATGATCAGTGAGAACTTCACACATGATACCGAGAAAGATGTTATTGTCTCTGTAGTAGTTAGTAGTTCAGCTATGAATGCATAGTCCAAGCCTAATTGTGAGAAAGCACCAAGCAAATCCAAAATAAGATTTTAGAAGTACCTATTACAGGTTCACAGCTAAAGAGGGAAGTAGACTCACTGTGAATGCATCTGAGTTTTCCTCATATCTGATTAACAATTAGAGGAGATTTTGGATTCTAGACTATTGAGAACCAATACTGGAATGTGTTAAGTCATTTGGATTATCAGGGTGGAATAAACATATTTCCCACGTGATAACACCCCCCGGGGGGGGGGGTGAAATAGTATAGACTCAACTAACTATTAGAAAGGGGGAGACCGGTGTACACCTGTAGCCTAAAGATACACAGAATTTCTAGGTAGTTTCAGGTATTTTTCCATTCAGTGTTTTTAATAATATTAAATATACTTTTCAAGACATGATAAAAATCCTATAATTTGTATTTTAATTTTAGTTTTTCATTTTCGCCATTCCACTATTGGATAATATTATTGGTTTTAACAGGCTTTATTCTCCAATATTTTTATCACCTAGCCTATCTAAGTGATTTTATTTTGTGTTGAACTGGAATGACTGCAATGCTCTTAGTAAAAGCCTGCATACTTTGTTTTGGCCTTGTTAAAGTTTATAGAAAATATCCATGGAAACTCCTGGAGTTTTCATTAAAAGATAATCCCATTTTTGTACTGAATTTGCATCCTTAAAATGAGGGAACTTAAAGGTCTGGACTCACTGTATATGAATAAAACCTCAGTAAAGCACAGGTCAGTCACTGGCTTCTGTGGTTTCCAAGGAATATTGTCATAGTCTTAGCTATCACTTTCTCAGGACTGCCTTGCAAATTCTTCTGCAGATTGGGAATTTAAATGCTGGCTTCTTTTTAAATTCCCAGTTATTTGGAGACTTAAGTTGGCTATCACAATGCGTAATAAAAATATTCTGTAATTGGTAAACACTTAAGTTGTTTCAACTTCTCTTTGAACATTGTACCAGTCCTGAAGATGTTTGTTCAGTTTGCAAACCAAAATCAGGATGTTAAATTTGTTTTGAAATTGTTTTTTAAATTGTGTCACCTCTGCTTTTTCATGTTATAATTTGTTACTGACTTTTTTTTAATGATAGACGAATCCTTAGTTCTGTGGAAAAGAGCAGACAGAAATACAAGCCAGCTTCTCTCACAGTGGAGTTTGTTCCTTTCTTTTATCGTAAGTAACACCCTACTTTACTTTGATTTTGATCAGTTTTGATTAGTGGTTTTTTTCTTACTCTAGTTTTGACCTTAATTTGGTTTGTGATTTTATAAAGTAAAGGCTACTAAAGAACAAAACCACAAGGTTAGTTAATTTGTGTTTGGTTGTGCTAATGGTTCTTGGGGTTAATTTTCTCCATTTAATTCTCTTTAAGAGCTGATCTGTTTCTATGAGCTGAACATTTTAAAAATTGCGTATTTTAGAACTTCACAATTTTTACTAAGATGAGAAATCTTGAGAGATATCCAGAGAATATATGTTTAGCATGCACCAAACCTTCCATTTGATCCTTAAAACCAGAACACAAACCAGTTAGCACCCAAACCATTAAGTGATGTGACTAGTTTGTTTGTGCATGGCTATATATATATGTTCTAGTTTCACCCTCACTGTTTTTTTATGTTGAAGCAGGGTTCCATGTCTCCTAGCTTGACCTCAAATTTGCTGTAGCTGAGTGTGACTTGATCTCATCCTGAGTGTTGACTTTACAGGCATCTGCCACCATACATGGCTAGTTTTCACTTTTAAAAATGATTGTGCTGGAGGCTAGAGAGATAGATGACTTAGATAACTTAGTAGTTAAGAGTGCTTGCTGCTTTTGTTAAGGACCATGGTTCATTCCCAATTCCAGTTCCTTTTCTGGCCTTTCTGGGCTCTGTGTACACATGGTACACATATATACATGTAGGTAAATGTTTGAAGATAAAAAGATAATGCTGGGGTAGGAATGTAATTCAGTTGGTTCAGTGCTTGATTCTCATGCACTAGTTTTACTTCATAACTGCATTATTGAGTCATTGTAGCTAGAAGTATTCTCTGTCCCCCTGGTCCTCCTGGACTGATATTTCTCTGCCCGCCTGTTCCCAAAGCTTCTTATGAAATAACCACTCTGAGGCTTAATATTAGTTATATTCTCTTTGGCCTATTAGCTCAGGGTTCTTATTAACTAACTCTTACATCTTAACTCATTTTTATTGTGTTATATTTTACCATAAGGCTCATGATTTGTTACCTCACATCTTGCTTCCTTTGTGGCTGCAGACATCTCCCTGGGTCCACCTTTTATCCCCCTCTATTCAGTTTAGTTTTCCTGCCTAGCTATATTATTCACTGCCATAGGCCAAAGCAGCTTCTTTATTAACCAATGGTAATAAAACACATTCACACATTCTAGTATGCTTTTACTGCTATAACAGAATACTTGAGATTGTGACTTAAACACAGAAGTTTATTTTCTCATAGTTTTGGAGGCTTGACATTGTAAGAGCCAGGTCCTAAAAGGGTTTGGTTTTTGGTGAGGTCTTTTTGTAGCCTGGTGTTAGTCTCCCTGTATTCTCAGATTTTAGAAGGACTGATACCTCTTCAAACAAGAGCATCAGTTTTGTTGTATCAGGCAATCCCTTCTCTGATCTTATCTAACCATAATCTCTTCTTTAAAAGCCTAGGCTCTAGTGTAGTCATGGGTGTGTGTGAGTTAAGGCATTAGTATTTGAATTTGGGAGGGATAGTTGAATCTATACTATTTCACCCCCCCATTAATGTTTTATCATTTGCAAAATATGTTTATTCCACCCTGATAATCCAAGTGACTTAACACATTCCAATATTGGTTCTCAATAGTCTAGAATCCCAAATCTCCTCTAATTGTTAATCAGATATGAGCAAAACTCAGATGCATTCACAGTGAGTCCACTTCCCTCTTTAGCTGTGAACCTGTAATAGGTACTTCTAAAATACAATGGTGAATCTGGAAGAGAATTTAGATTCTCATTCTAAAAGGGAGAAATTGGAAGAAAGAAAGGGGGTACATGTTTTAAGCTTGTCAGGGACCAGCCCAAACGTAATTTTTTATACCAGAATGGAGGCATGGAAATGAAGATGCTATTCATATGACAGTATTTGGAGGGAGTTCAGAGATCATTCAGATCCTGAAAATCTCAAATCACTTCCTGAAAAGTCCATTCATTTTATTTTCCAAACAGCTTTTATTTTTTAAACAAAGGTAAACTGAGGGGCAAGTTCATTAGCATTCTGTTAGCTAGGTGTGGGGGTGGGGGGATGACTTAGGTCACCTCCCGCCTATGCCTGTTTTGTCATGTCTACTGAAAACATCTCTTCTCCAGGCAATCTCCTAATTTACAATAAAAGGAGCAGAATGACATTAGCATACTCTGACCACTTGTTAGGATGGCATCAGGTTATTTTACTATCAAAAAGCCAGACTACCACCTTCTGTGTGGTAGGTGCACCTTGTAGGTCGCTCAGAATTCTCAGAATTATGGGCCTGCATAATTCAGCCTCTACACAAGCTATCATAAAATCTGGAAAGATAACAAATTTCATTACTTAAAGATTCAAAATGGTATTTGGTATAGTGCTTTGCTCTTTGATTAGGGAGCTAGTGCTGTGCCTTCTAGCTCTATAAGGCATTCAGTTTATTTAGTTATTTAAAATTATTGTATGTATCTATATTTGACATGTATGTGGGCAAGCATGCTGCAGTGTGCAGTCAGAGACCAACTTTGTGGAGTTAATTCTTTCCTTCTGTTTTTACATAGGTTCCAGGAATAGAACCCAGGTCACCAGTTTTGCACAGTAGAAGTCTTTACTGGCTGAGTCGTGTTGCTGGCCTTAAATTTTTTTTTTAGGTAGGGATTTGCTTTTCTCTGCTTTCTTGAGTCACCACCTGTGTGCTTGTATTTGTGAGCACAATTCTGCCCCTGGGGCTCTGAGTAGGTTGTTCTGACCCCACTCTAACTGTAGTATAGTCCTCTGAATTTGAAGAAACACAATTTGACCTTCATTCCTTCCTATTTTCTCTGTTCTCTTCAGTTGAAAATGGTAAAGTCCTTATTGGTATAATTCTGTCCTTATTTCCGACCTTAGCTGAAATGGCTAATTAAATCAGTAAGTCATATTGTCACTGGAATCTCGGCCTAGACTCTTGTGATCTCCATCAAGAATAGAGACAAGATACACAGCATAGTATAGATTTTCCTGGGGGACTTTGAAGTGGTTGGTGGGCTTGCTTAGATTGTTTCTTCTAGGAGGAGCAATGGTATGTCCTTACTCTTTATCAAGAGTGTCTCCTTCTACATAAAAATCTTTAAAAGTTCAGAGCTGTTGGAGCCACCTTTAGTTATTTGTTAATGTTTCTTTTGGTACCCCAGGATGCCTTTAGGGCCAGAGATGAGAATCAGATCACATTCTTCTTACCAGTAATTAAAGTCCTGCTATTCCAGATCTTTCTTCTCTTTCTAATGTGGATCCTGGGATTTAAGCTCATGCTGTTTGTATTGGTGGTAAACACTCTTTAACTTATTGAATCATCTTTCTGGACCCTTGAACCTTCTTTTGTATGTAATGTATATGAGATGATATTAGGCATATCCATAAAATGCTGAGCCTTAATAAAAGTGCAGTGTCTCCTGACAAGTGCTGAAGGTATTTAAAGTAGTACTTTTGTACAGTTGCTTTTTAAATAAAATAATTCATACTTAAGAATTAAGAGAAATTTTCTGAGCTATATAATTTATAACTTCCTAAATATGTGTATAATAAGAATTTTAATATGCCAAAATGACATTCTCTATATCTGTAGATAAAATAAAAACTGTTTTAAGTAATAAAGATTCTTTTGAGATTCACTAGAGAGATGCACTGAATCAGATTTAAGGGAAACATCCTGTAGTGATATTGCCTGCTGCTGGGGAATCTGGAGTAGGAGTAACAACAAAAGCGAGAACAAAGGAAAATACATTTATAGACTTTTGAGGAAAGAGGGTCTTCAAGTTTAGCATGTTAGTGAAGGTACTAGGTAGAATACCAGGCAACTCCGGGTGCCTTGAGCCTGGCTACAGTGAGCTGACCCTATTGTCTCGCTCTGTGTGGCCTTCCACTTGTTTGCACTTAGCAAAGGCACTAGATATAGAATGTAAGTTGTAGCTGATCTCCTCGGGTAGAATCAATCATCTAACAAAAGCTAACTAGTTATACCAATGAAAACATTCAGGTTCCAACCATGTTGTAGCATAGGTAGATACCTAACAGGGTAATCAGAATTTTTACTTCTTGATCTTATAGTCAGAAATTCTAGTCTATACCCATCAGTTCATCCTAAGAGCAACCAGGACCAAAGGATAGTGCCTTAGAGCCATTAAATGCCATTAGGAGCTAACCAGCATATTCTCAACTTCATGATCTACTCAGTAACAAATCATTCTGATGGATCAAAGGCAGGCAGTCATATTTTACATCAATGGAGATCAATCCTATATAAATAATACCACTGGGATACATGAATAAGTACAGATTTGTTGTTTTCAGCATTAAAAGACTTTCTGACTTAAACATCTTTTGTTAGTTCTTTATATAGCTATACCTCAGATTTGAAAATATCCTGATGTCTTGATTATTTAATTGTTGTGAAAGGAGTGCTTGTAAGGCAAGGCTTAGCATATATCTTAGCACTGCTGCCTTTGTCTCATCCTTTGAAAGCTCTTGTCTTTTTTGATTTCAATTCAAATTACTAGAGCATTGGGGAAGTATCCTATCTAGCAACCAGGTCTGGCATGATCAGTTGTAGTGGACTTTAGTCATAGCCTTGAAGAAGAGTATGTACTTTTGAAGTCCAGAGTTATGGGAGTGGGTGTGTTGGGTATATGTGGCCGCTTGTTTGTTTCCCGACTGCCCGGTAGCTCAGACTACAGATAGCCACACAGAAACCATATTAATTAAATCACTGCTTGGCCTATTAGCTCTAACTTCTTATTGGCTGGCTTTTACATCTTAACTTATTTTCATTATTTTATATTTTACCATGAGGTTCATGGCCTACCAGCCAGGTAGGATTCCAATGTGTCTGTCTCTGTCGGCTGCTCCATGGGTTCTCCCTGACTCTGCCACCTTTTTCCAACATTCAGTTTAGTTTTCCCTGATTAGCTCTACTCTATGCC